CGGATTGTTTACAATTGACACTTTCATCATTTGTGTTACCGTTTTCTGTTGTTTTTTTAAATTTTCGTTTTGTCACGAATGTTTGTACCATGAGTCTAATTTGTTCCCAAGGCTATAACTTTTTATTTTTTTCCATTTTCCCCTAGTTTTTCAATATATTTTTTACTTTTGCACTACTGTATTTTATTAGTTTTTTTCAAGTTACTTTTTGTGTCACGGTAATCTGTGTTCGTTATTTTCTAGTTTAATCATTTCTATCAATTCATTTTCCGTATTCGGATACTTGCAGTTCGTTTTGTTTGAAATGTTCTTACTGTTGCTATATATTATACACATGTCACGAATAAAGTTGAGAGGTTTCAGTGCGTGCTTTTGTATAGCCAGATTTTTGTTAGGTCAGCAACCAATGTGAATAAATCAACCTTCGTCAACATTAAGAGACATATTCCACGAAACTTTCCATTCGTACAAATCGTTTATTATTCTAAGATTGACGCTGAAATATAGTTTACTTCATTCAGAGAATAGAATTTATAAACCATTTCTGTCATCGGTAAAAAGGATGGTTTACCATAAAGAAGGAAAGATCAAACGTCATTGATAAAAAGGAGAGTCAGTAATGGACCGACCACATTTACTTGTATAACCCAACTAACTATATTCAACCATCATTCATCATACCAATGTGAACTGAACAATCTCCACAACCCAACACTGATGACTAGCATGTGCTCACTAGTGACTGAAGATGGATTTAGTGAATTGTGGTGAGGATCAATGATCATTGCAGTTGAACCGTATCAATCGTGAGGTGGATACAAATGAAGAAAATGGAGGAAAGTGGAGCAGAATGGCGGATTAGTTGCAGTGAGAAATTAAGACAGATGGATGTGAGCTCAGTGAATAAAAGGTTACGAGAAGACGTCTTAGAACTACGACTCCTTATTCAAGTCGCCAGAGTGCACATAAAATCACTAACCACAAACGACAATCTACAACACCTGGACTCGGTAGTTCATTCAACCATGATAAAGATAATGACATGTGTTTCTTGCTGCGCACGATCTTACATTATACTAGTCATTCTGTCCCACAAACGGTCCCCAAAAGTTACAAGCAACCCACAGTCATAAATAGTCGCACTCTTAGAGTGCTAAAACTTGGAAGGTACTACTGAGGGGAATAAAAATAGACTAGTGACGACATTAAATATAGGCAGTTCAAACAAGCAATAAACTGATGCACAAGCACGATAAGAGAAGATAGGCTTCAGTATTAGATAAAGCTGATCGACAAATTTGTCTGCAACCCGAAAAGCTTATTTCTTCATGCAGCCTTTCTTCAACAAACCAAAGTTTCTCAGTTGCTAAGTCTTAACGGTCCAACCAAAAACGACGGCGATCCCGCAGTGCTTGTCAGAACAGTATTTTTAAATATTTCAACCTTCACATGCAAACTACATCGACGAGAGCTTCACTTGGAACCTAAGAGGAGTCCCAGAAGCGAGCGTTAGCGCTGGGACTCGTATTTCAGAAATTGAAGCGTCTAAACAAGGACCATATATGTTTGTGTGGATACATGCACATGCAATCAAACAATGCACCCAAGGGTTATGGAACATGTGCGTAGATGGCTTTGAAACCAGTTAGTGTCAAATGTTCTGATAAACGTGAGAAGTAAAAGACCAGGTTCATCGATAGCAAAGCACAACTGAAACGGGGCATATTCGCTAAGCCAGGACACGGCTACAGAAAATTGGGAGCTGGAGCATATTACACCAATTTTCAAAGGAGGCCAAAGCAATGGATCTTTAAGCTACTGACCGATAGCACTTCTCTTAATACCCTTAAAAAGTCCTTGATATACGAGGGTCTACGCGACTACTGGTTATCTACAAACTTTTTTTACCACAGAAACACGGTTCCAGGAGGGGCCACTTGTATAACAATCTGCTGACTGCGGTGGACAAATGAAAAGCCATCCTTGGTCGTAAAGGGAAGATTGATATGATATATCTTGACTTCTCAAGAGGCTTGACAGGGCCAATTATATATGTCTCATCGATAAGTTCAGACTGTTAGGCGTCAAGTCACTGTTGATAGACTGGCTTACTTAATATCGAAATAATCGACACAATAAAGTTTAATTTTCCCCAGGCTACAGAATGTTCTAGTGGGACCCTCCTGAGCCTAATACTAGAACGTAATCCTTCTACTTCACATAGGTGGCCTCCTCCAGCAAGTATCGTATAACGACGTTAAACTTCGGAAAGAAGTTTGCAATAAAGATGATAAGCTGGAGCTCCAAAAGGATACAAATCGACTTCCAAGCTGAGCGGATAACACCGGAATTACTTTCAACACTTCAAATTGTAAAGTAACCAGAGACATGTTACAGATTACGCATACAACTTGAACAACGCCTCTCTAGAGGTAGCCAGTGTTGAAAAAGGTGTATGAGTCTTGGTACCCCATGATTTAACGTCTTGTTTTGGCTGTGAAAAAGTGCTTTTTTGATCGGACATTGCACCGAGAACGTTGAAGCGCATTTTTAGCCAGTTTGACAATACAACTCTCCACTTAATCGCTAACAGTTTTATTCAGAGTATGGAAAGTGTTTCCTCCTTCACTCCAAAAGCATATGAATACACTGGAACGTACCTGAAGGCAAGCTACGAGAACCCAGATCCAAACCTTACGAAGAGCGCCTCAAATCACTGGACGTTTATCAATTAGAGTATAGGCTTCTAAGAGGTAGCCTTTCAATAACTTGCAGCATCCTAACTACTCAAGACACTTAAGTAGTCTCAACACAAACCTTAGGGACGATATCCTCTATTTTGACCACAATCATTTGAACATGGACCTGCTACTATCTAATCTGAACGAGCCCTATATTACCAAGTGATATTGGAAAATTTTTAATTAAGACTAAACCTTACCTCATCTTTTAAAAAGGCACACGTATTCCCACAAGAATGACACTGGCGTGGCTCACCGAATCTGTTTCTGTAGTGTAAGCACCTCTGGCAAACCAAGGCACTGCCAAAAGCAGTTTTTAAATTGCATATGGAACAAGACTGAGGCTCGCCGTACTTGCTTTTAAGAGATTGACAGTGTGGGCAGATACCGCCGCAACTTAGGAAAGCCCACGACTAAACTGTATTTTTGCAACGTACACCTATAAATTCAGATTCAGTTTCAGATTTGTGTAGTAAGGACAGAAGTCCTACGGCCCATGTTATTCCTTTTCTAGTATGTTTCTGTGAGTGCTCAGTCTTCTCTTGAAAGAGTCAGTTGAAGGTGCGGACACCACTGCTTCAGGCAGCAGGTTCCAAGTATTGATGACGCAGTGTGAAAACCTGTATGCCACGGGTATTTTGTTCGTTCTTGGCTTTTCTACTCGCCTGCTATGTCCTCTGAAGTGTCCCGATTTAGTGGGAAGAAAGAGAATAAGTTAGGTCCGAAATCGTTTCTCAGTATTCTGTACATCAAAATTAAACCTCCCCTTAGTCTGCGATAGGACAGAGTAAAGAGGTCCATTTTTTCAAGCCGCTCTTTGTATGAAAAACACAGGAGTTCTGGAATTGCACGGGTAGCTGCCCTCTGTACTTTTTCTAGTATGTCCGAGTCACCTTTTAAGCACGGGCTTGCAGCCTGAACGCAGGTCTCTAGCCTAGTTATCACTAAGGATGTGTATACTGTGGTGAACATGGTAGTATCCAACTTAGTGAATGCCCTTTTTAAAGCCCAGAGGGTTCCAAACCCCTTGGCTGCGACCTCCCGGCAATGGGCCGTCGTCTTAAGATCAGTACTCACTGTCACCCCTAGATCCTTATGAGACCGGACTACTGGTAATGACACATTCCCTATGCTGTACGTATCAACCTTTGAATCCCCCATGTGCATGTAGACACACTTTTCCGAGTTGATAGGCATCAGCCACTCCTTTTACCAGTTTATCATACTATTATTCAGCGTGTTGTGAAGAAAGAATTCATGTTTTTGAAAATTATTCATCAACTCTGAGCTATGTGGTGCCAGTTCACTTCTGTGATTAAAGATGGTCTCTGGACTTTTAGGTAATACAAGAGTAACAGAGCGACGTTTATTTTCCCAACCGCATCTCAGTGTATAGGATTAAGGATAGCGGATCAACCTTTATTACGGTACTATAATTGATAGTGAAATAGAAATACTTTGGATGCTTGTCCAGACCTGGACATCTCAGAAATCATAGAAATCAGACTAGTTGCCCATTGAATGGCGGGAACATGTGAAGGGTGTCACTTCTGGACGTTCCGTTTATTTGAACGTTGATTTGAGTTTTGGGTGTAAGTTGTCTCGTATAATCTTACTGGGAGTCCGATTATTCTTGTTTTGTTGTGTCGTAGATCATAAAGCATTAGTTATAAACTCGCTTACTAGAGTTGCTGATCGACCACATACCAACAACAGTGAACTCGACACCCTTCAGTGCAATCATAATGGATCAACCTTTATTTTCTTGCACAAAATGCCTACAAAATTTCCCACAGTCTGAGATGTCCAGGTCTGGACAAGCATGCAAAGTATTTCTATTTCACTATCCATTCTAGTGCCATAATATTTAGAAGTGCAGTCCTCACCACTCTACATTCAAACAATGCGAATATTGCAAATCTGACTTTAAATACAACGTGTAAGTTACAGAAACTCAGTTTATTCTTGGGGTTTCCTAAGTTGCGGCGGTATCTGCCCACACTGTCAATCTCTTAAAAGCAAGTACGGCGAGCCTCAGTCTTGTTCCATATGCAATTTAAAAACTGCTTTTGGCAGTGCCTTGGTTTGCCAGAGGTGCTTACACTACAGAAACAGATTCGGTGAGCCACGCCAGTGTCATTCTTGTGGGAATACGTGTGCCTTTTTAAAAGATGAGGTAAGGTTTAGTCTTAATTAAAAATTTTCCAATATCACTTGGTAATATAGGGCTCGTTCAGATTAGATAGTAGCAGGTCCATGTTCAAATGATTGTGGTCAAAATAGAGGATATCGTCCCTAAGGTTTGTGTTGAGACTACTTAAGTGTCTTGAGTAGTTAGGATGCTGCAAGTTATTGAAAGGCTACCTCTTAGAAGCCTATACTCTAATTGATAAACGTCCAGTGATTTGAGGCGCTCTTCGTAAGGTTTGGATCTGGGTTCTCGTAGCTTGCCTTCAGGTACGTTCCAGTGTATTCATATGCTTTTGGAGTGAAGGAGGAAACACTTTCCATACTCTGAATAAAACTGTTAGCGATTAAGTGGAGAGTTGTATTGTCAAACTGGCTAAAAATGCGCTTCAACGTTCTCGGTGCAATGTCCGATCAAAAAAGCACTTTTTCACAGCCAAAACAAGACGTTAAATCATGGGGTACCAAGACTCATACACCTTTTTCAACACTGGCTACCTCTAGAGAGGCGTTGTTCAAGTTGTATGCGTAATCTGTAACATGTCTCTGGTTACTTTACAATTTGAAGTGTTGAAAGTAATTCCGGTGTTATCCGCTCAGCTTGGAAGTCGATTTGTATCCTTTTGGAGCTCCAGCTTATCATCTTTATTGCAAACTTCTTTCCGAAGTTTAACGTCGTTATACGATACTTGCTGGAGGAGGCCACCTATGTGAAGTAGAAGGATTACGTTCTAGTATTAGGCTCAGGAGGGTCCCACTAGAACATTCTGTAGCCTGGGGAAAATTAAACTTTATTGTGTCGATTATTTCGATATTAAGTAAGCCAGTCTATCAACAGTGACTTGACGCCTAACAGTCTGAACTTATCGATGAGACATATATAATTGGCCCTGTCAAGCCTCTTGAGAAGTCAAGATATATCATATCAATCTTCCCTTTACGACCAAGGATGGCTTTTCATTTGTCCACCGCAGTCAGCAGATTGTTATACAAGTGGCCCCTCCTGGAACCGTGTTTCTGTGGTAAAAAAAGTTTGTAGATAACCAGTAGTCGCGTAGACCCTCGTATATCAAGGACTTTTTAAGGGTATTAAGAGAAGTGCTATCGGTCAGTAGCTTAAAGATCCATTGCTTTGGCCTCCTTTGAAAATTGGTGTAATATGCTCCAGCTCCCAATTTTCTGTAGCCGTGTCCTGGCTTAGCGAATATGCCCCGTTTCAGTTGTGCTTTGCTATCGATGAACCTGGTCTTTTACTTCTCACGTTTATCAGAACATTTGACACTAACTGGTTTCAAAGCCATCTACGCACATGTTCCATAACCCTTGGGTGCATTGTTTGATTGCATGTGCATGTATCCACACAAACATATATGGTCCTTGTTTAGACGCTTCAATTTCTGAAATACGAGTCCCAGCGCTAACGCTCGCTTCTGGGACTCCTCTTAGGTTCCAAGTGAAGCTCTCGTCGATGTAGTTTGCATGTGAAGGTTGAAATATTTAAAAATACTGTTCTGACAAGCACTGCGGGATCGCCGTCGTTTTTGGTTGGACCGTTAAGACTTAGCAACTGAGAAACTTTGGTTTGTTGAAGAAAGGCTGCATGAAGAAATAAGCTTTTCGGGTTGCAGACAAATTTGTCGATCAGCTTTATCTAATACTGAAGCCTATCTTCTCTTATCGTGCTTGTGCATCAGTTTATTGCTTGTTTGAACTGCCTATATTTAATGTCGTCACTAGTCTATTTTTATTCCCCTCAGTAGTACCTTCCAAGTTTTAGCACTCTAAGAGTGCGACTATTTATGACTGTGGGTTGCTTGTAACTTTTGGGGACCGTTTGTGGGACAGAATGGCTAGTATAATGTAAGATCGTGCGCAGCAAGAAACACATGTGAATGTCTAAATTGAGTTGAGGGAAGGCAACCAAATCTACATGTTGTACATTGTTTTTTAGGGCTGACGAATTTATCCGCTTGAAATTGCAGCTGTTGTCAGTAGGATGTTCGAGCTCCATTTTGCTAGTAAAATAGTGGCTATGAAAGTGTGATCACTTCTTCCCAGCGGAGTTAGGATTGTGAGTTTGTCAATTAGTAATTCTTCGTTTGTAACGGTTCGGTCTGAACGTAACGTCGTCTGGTTGTTTGTTCACAGAGTTGCCAAATTCACTTTTCAAAACAGTCTCAACTCTTCAGTCAGATCGAAGAACCCAACTTCAATAGTATTATTACTTCCATTGTACGTGTGTTCAGTTATGTGTACTTTACGAAGATTGATATATCCCAAGATTAGGATGTGAGTCTTTTGAAGATGAATAACGTGAGATGGTTTTATTACCACTATTTCGACTTGGAAAAGTAGTTCCTGGATCGCTACTTATCATTGTGATGCGTGTGCTATTAAGTTAATTCACACTTTTATTTCGGTGCAAAATGTAAGAATAAATGATTAATTTCCGGATTAAAATAATTTTGTGAGTAGTCACTTACTGCACTTGCACGTATTTCACACTGGAAATTTTTGTCGTGTTATTGCAAGAAGTTCATCTAAACAATCCAACTATCTATTTCAATCAAAAGGTATTAACACATTGTTTTGTGGGTATAATAGCTTTTTTCGTTAATATGAAGGCATTATCTAATTGATAAACCTATGCCTATGCTCATTATTGGTAGCTAAATTTATTAATTATTTTGTGTTTATTGTGACTTGACGTTTTTGTTTTCCGATATTCTCTGAAGCATCATTCTTCACTAAAATTACTGTTGAGACAATTTTCAAATCCGTATATTCTTTCCTCGTTTATTTGTATAGGCCAGCCGAGAGAAAGTTGATGGACAGATTCTTTGTTGGGTGTGTACATACAATTTTAAATTAGCTCGATCTAAAGAACGCTCTATTCATGGATTCAACAAACGTCGACATGATGGTTACCAGCTTTCAACTGCAAACCGTTCGAGATCAAGTCATAAGTAAGCCGGCCACTTTCTTTTTCCGCTCACCATGTAATTAAAGTGCTAGAACTCAGGTTTCTGGTCGATTTCAATAGTATTTTACAAAGCTCTAAACATCAAATAAATAAATAATGTCAATCTCGAGCTCTTTTAGAAACCGGTAGAGAAATATGTAGCAGTGAATTGTTTCTTGATTCATTTCCTATATTCATGAATAGTTCACGGTTGCCTATGACTGTCTGACTGAATAGCCCATTGTTACAGGCAAATTTCTTTTCAAAGTCACAAAATTGAGCCAAGCAAAATGAAAGAGGCGATATTTTTAGAATTTAAATGACCCCCATCCATTGATCTTGTGCTTAGATATCTACTTACGTCAAACAAGTACTGAAGGCTTAAATACTTTCTGACCTAACAACTACTAACATCATACCAACTGTAGACACACCAATCACTACTGAAGGTTAGTGGCTAAATACTGTTGCTTTTATCGGAATAATTAAGCTCGGATTATGTTTTAGTTCATATACATGTTTATCTTTGCTTTAATAAACATAGAAATTTCAACGAAAAGGTTGCTTTAAAAAGGGTTTTACTAGGTGGAGGGGCTGATAAAACGCAGTCTTTCATATAACTTGGGTGATAGTACAAGAATTTCCAGAATATCTCTCATCCACTGCGTCCAGAGTGTTACCTCAGAAGTGCTCTACTTTAATTCTCAGTTTGGAGGTATGGTGAAGCAATGGAGTCATTTGGTCACTCCACTTTAAGAGTAATTAAGTGGTGAGTTATGGTAGATGATATCTGAGAAAACACAAAATGCTCATCCTGCTTTTATCACTTTATACCAGTAATGACGCAGGAGAGATATCTAAATACCCAATATAAGACGAATATTTTATGAAGTCCGCACAATGCTCTTTGACTGGTAGGGATGTTTACCCAAGGCAGATATCTGTAAGTCACAAATATTCACGTTTGCCTCTGAAACAACATCCCCTCTTTATAGATTGTCAGAGCATTCGGTGCTTGCCCAGTTACTATCTAGTGCGTCAAGTTTCGCCGGCCAAGATGGAAGTGGATCAAAGACCGTTGCTGCCCAGACAAAAGCAGCTGCAGTCCACAACATCAATGAGTGATCTTCTTACCCGTGTGGGGAATTTCGGGTTTATTGTGTCTCATTCTATGAGATCGTGTCATATCGAGTTCAGTATTTCTATGTCTGCTAGAATATTTATTTGATGACCCATGTGAATTTTTAAAAATAATATTCCTTAATTCTTTAAAATAAAAGGTTGGAAACTTAGTGCCCATATTTCGTTTTCTAAACAATTTAAAAGGCTGTATTCACATAAACTTTTGAATTTTAGCACTCTTAAAAAAACTTATACCGATGGGTTTGGAACAAGGCAAATTGACACGCAGATGCATGTACAACAGGCTTTAACTACTCAAGCACTAAGGTGAGTAATAGGTCATTGAGTAGGATTTATGTGTATATGCAATCGCTAATTGTGTGGTCATATGGAATGCTAGTGACTTATGAGTTGGTTAAAAACTAAGCAGTTCCCAATAGGCGCTAATGCTGTCAGACGTACCAGGACAACGCACCTGAGTTTGAATGTATTTAAAAGACTATTTTGGTTTCTCGAAATATTTATATATGAAAATAAATGAATAATAAGGGGTTCTACAACAAATAATTGTTAGTTTACGTTAAACTAACTCAAGGTAATTAACTCATCAATAACAATTAATCTCAACGCATTACTTACTTACTTACTTACGCCTGTTACCCCCAATGGAGCATAGGCCGCTGACCAGCATTCTCCAACCCACTCTGTCCTGGGCCTTTTTTTTCTAGTTCCATCCAATTCTTGTTAATTTTTCTCATGTCTATCTCCATTTCTCGGCGTAATGTGTTCTTTGGTCTTCCTTTTTTCCTTTGACCTTCAGGATTCCATGTGAGGGCTTGTCTTGTGACGCAGTTGGGTGCTTTCCTCAATGTGTGTCCTATCCACTTCCAGCGCTTCTTCCTGATTTCTTCCTCCACTGGGATCTGGTTTGTTCTCTCCCACAGTAGATTGTTGCTAATAGTGTCCGGCAAACGGATCTGAAGTATTTTGCGTAGACAATTGTTAATAAACACCTGTATTTTCTGGATGATGGCTTTTGTAGTTCTCCAGGTTTCTGCCCCATACAGTAGAACTGTCTTGACATTTGTATTGAAAATCCTGACCTTGGTGTTGGTTGACAGTTGCTTTGAGTTCCAGATGTTCTTCAGTTGTAAATATGCTGCTCTTGCTTTGCCGATCCGCGCCTTCACATCTGCATAATCTCAACGCATACTGGCACATATGTGTGGCTGAACAGATAAGAAGAGTTAACCAATAAGGAAATAGTTCACAATTGATAAAATGCGAGGTATTAAAGTCTAGTTGCTCACAAGTTATATAGTTATAATACATACATTTCAAGAACCATGTGCTGTGAAATACTTTCTCGTTAGAGATAAATGCACTGTTTAGACTAAAACGTCCTTGGGGATTATATGAATACGGTCGGATCATTCAATGAGCTTTTGTTCGACCCATCAACGACTATATTTCTTCTAAACTATGTTTCTCATTGCTGTCTATGCTTCTTACTAACTCGCCTGGTAATTAGAAATGAGCCGCGCTAATAATTTACTACTTGGTTACCCAAACCGAAGTAGGTGAAGTGGGATTCAAATTCCCGACCAGAGATCCCTAAGCAAAACTGTCCTAGAATCTCCTTTCCAAGTTTGCCAAGTTCTCGACGCCCTGTGATCCTCGATTCATCACTTTCCCGTTTGCCTGAGAATTTCAAGTTAGGACTTGCCTCTTGATTCAGTTCAGTGGTTTCTACAGTGTCTTACCCACCCAACGCTTTTTCTTAATTTTCTTAACTGGAAGTCAGTTTCTTCTCAGTCAGAGTATGTTATTGCTGATGGTCTCTAGCCAATGGATCCGGAGTATCTTGCGTAGACACCTGTTTATAAACATCTGTACCTCACTATGGTGGTTGTAGTTCTCCAAGTCTCAGCTCTTTACGATATAAAACTGCTTTGACGTTAGTGTTGAAAATTGTGACTTTAGTATTGAGTTCCAGATATTCTTCAGTTGTAGGAATGCTACCCTTGGTTTGTTGATTAGTGCTTTCACGTCCGAATCAGATCCTCCTTGTTTATCGATGTCGCTGTCTAGGTAGTGGGGGTTTCTACTTCTTCCAGAGCTTCGCCATCAAGTGTGATTTGGTTGGTATTCATTGTTTTGCGTTTCACGATCTTTCTTTTTCTCTTGTGAATGTGTTATAGCCCAAAGCCGCCAATCAGAAGCAGCGAATTATCGATTGGACCAAGGACGCGTAAAACACGTGCGAGCAGCCTAGAGTTCTGATTGGTCCTGCTTTCCGCCTAACCCAGCCAGTTAAGTCCAGAACATCAGTCTCAGCCTCGTTATATTTCAAACATACTGAGTTTGTATATCAATCAAACAGACGACAACGTAGGATAAAATAGAAAATAACATTTGTACAAAATATGGCCAAATGTGGCTGTGAATGTGGGAGGCGGTGACTAACAGACGGCATAATTCAAGAATGGTAAAACGTATAATAATGGTTCATAGGTCAAAATAAATCTTATAATAAGAGGAACATAAATATGAATAGTTTAGTTATTTAACAATTATACGATGAAATATACGTTTAGTATTGGTCCATAAAAGGATCCCAAAGTTACCATTCATTATGTTTCTCGGGACCTAACAGAATGTTTAGGCCTATTTTAATGGGAGAGGCTAGTACATTGGGTATATTCGTCTACATTTGTTTCCGTGTATGCAATCGGGGGTCTGAGTCATCTCCAAAGTCCATATCGTCCAGTTGTGTCCACGGTATTCTATGCTCCTCCTTAGATATACGGGTCCTCATTATCCAGTCGACAGATGGCAGCAAGAAAATGGACGAAAATATGGAGCCTTTTTTGACACCGGTCCGCAGTTGAAATACGTCTTGTAACTGTTCTCCACTCGCAGCTTTGCAGTCCAATCCTTTGTGAGGGTTCCGTATGAAGGTGACAATCTTCTTATTCTGCATTGACTGATGTCTTCCCTTCCCCATATCTTAGATATTTATCAGGCTATTTGCATCCTTTATATCGACGCTTTTTGCTAACCACCACCTTCAAAAAGGGTTCACGTCGCTCCTCGAACAACTATCGGGGGATAAGTCTACTTCCGATTGCGTCCAAGCTATTGGTTTCCTTCATACTTCGTAGGTTGTTCAAAACCCGAGAAAGATTGACTCGCGAGAAGCAGGCTGGTTTTCGTTCCGGTCGGGGGTGTATTGATCATATCTTCACCCTCCGCTAAATGTTAGAACACCGTCATACTTATTAAAGGCCAACAGTCGTCGTGTTTCTTGACATCAGGGCTGCCTTCGATTCGTTGGATAGGACTGTTCTCTGGGATTGTCTATTGAAGAGGGGTGTGCCTGAGAAGTTTATTAACATCCTAAAGGCCCTATATACAAACACCTCAGGCAGATTGAAGGCATACAACCACCTCTCTCCACTGTTCCATTTAAGCATTTGAGCATACTGTTGCAAGTAAGTATCGAACCGAGCTAGCTTCTAGGCTAGCATTTGAGCATTCGGATGATATTTTCTTACTGTGCGATAATACCCAAGCTATGCAATCCGCACCCAATCAGTAGGCAATCAATGTCCATAGGTACGGAATGTGCTTTGCACCTTCGAAGTGCAAAGTACTTCTACAAGACTGGCAGGATTCCAATCCTGTACTCACCCTAGATGGCGAGCAGATAGAAGTAGTCGAGAAGTTCGTGTATCTAGGTAGCTGCATAAGTGCTGGTGGTGGCGTGAGTGATGAGATCAATGCACGTATAGTGAAAGCCAGAGCGGCTTATGCCAATCTGGGCCATCCTTGGCGCCTTCGTAATGTTAGTCTGGCTGTAAAACGTCGGATCTACAACACGTCGATGAGAGCAGTTTTGCTCTATGCTTGTGAAACCTGGCCTCTCCGAGTTGAGGATGTTAGACAACTCTCTGTGTTCGATCATCACTGTCTCCGAAGGATTGCTGACATCCAGTGGCAACACCATGTTAGTAATGCAGAGGTTCGGCATCGTGTGTTCTGGCGCAGATAATCCGATTGGTGTCACCATCTTGAAACGCCGACTTCTGTGGCTTGGACATGTTCTACGAATGTCGTCCCAGAGAATTCCACGTCGAGCATTATTTTCCGACGCTGAGACTGGTTGGAAAAAGTGGAGAGGTGGTCAGTGTATGACACGGTGTCGTAGTATGAAAGAAAGCTGCAAAGGGCTGTCTTGTGTTGGTCCTTCACGACTCCCTGGCTGGGGTCCGAGAGATGGTGCGACACAGTGGCTAGAGACGTTATCAGATATGGCTCAGAATAGAAGCCAGTGGCGATCCTGCTGTAACCTTCTTTTACTTTCTTCATAAAAAAATGGTTGTTTCTTCCTTAACTGAAAGATTTCTTCCGATTGTACCTTTCTGTTTCCCCCATTATTATTATTATTATTATTATTATTATTATTGTTATTATTATTGTTATTATTATTATTATTATTATTATTATTATTATTATTATTATTACACTAGTCTGGTCGTTATTGTTCCTCTTCGTCTTTTTTTTCTTTTGCGCTCCTTACCTTTTTTTCTCCCCATTCTCATTGTTTTGTGTGGCGTATATATATTTGGTGCCCCTTGTACCAATATTTATGTGTTCAAATAAATAAATACCCACCACTTCCTAGCATGTTAAAGTTATTGCTTTTCAGATCCTTTTCCAGTCCTACACAATGGCTTCCACTTGTTCTAGTAGGCCTTGTAAGGCCTGGAACTAATTACTGTGAGCTATCATGAATTCAGTGAATTTTTTAGTATCTCAAAAAACATCTTATTGACTTTTTGTAGTGTTGTTTGTCCAACTGTCCAATACCTCTTTTGCCTTAGTTTTAGTTCAGCCGCTACCAGATGGTGGTCTGCAGCTATACGAGTTCGTTTCTTTGTTCTTACGTCTTCTGTTGGCCTCCTGATGCAAGTTTAATCGATCTGGTTCTCCCTAATGTCGTCCGGTGGAGCACATGTACCTCGATGTATATAGTTGAGAGGCAAAATGCTGCTGCCTATAACCACATTGTTAGAAGCACATAAATCCGCAAGTCTCACTAGTTCTATCCTCCCAGTCCGTGTTGCCCCATAACGCTTTCCTATCCTGTGTTGTCCATCACGAGACGTCAGATTCCCTATCAGGATGGTCAGGTATTTTCCTTAGCAGTCCTCTTCGACGGACTGCAGCCTCCCATAAAACTGATCTTTATTTTTGCTGCTATCATTGGTAGATGCGTTACACTGAATGACATCCCTTGCAATCCCTTCTTTTATTTTGAAGAGTGCTTTAGTGATCCTAGAGCTATGAGATTCCCATCTTATAAGCGCTTTTGGTGCTTCCTTGAAGAACATCAGTGCAGGTCCTTATTTATTTATTACTTACTTATCGAGGTGCACAGAACAAGCTGTGAAACACATATGGAGAAATTCGAACACTTCACTTCTATCTGAAGTTTGTGCTGATGATGTCGTTCAGAAGAACGATGAGAGCTCCACGACCAAACCATCCAGCTCAGAGAACAAAACACCACCAAAATCATCCACCTGAGCTACAAATCTTCTCCACCATCTCAATTACTTATTAACTTTGATTCAGTAAACTTCTCTTACATCTTACACTGTTTATGGTTAACATTACTTACGCCTGTTACTCCTAATGAAGTATAGGCCGCCGAACATCATTCTCCAACCCACTCTGTCCTGGGCCTTCTTTTCTAATTTCATCCAATTCTTGTTCATTTTTCTCAAGTCTATCTCGTTTCCCGGCGTAATGTGTTCTTTGGTCTTCCTCTTTTCCTTTGGCCTTGAGGATTCCATGTGAGGGCTTGTCTTGTGACGCCATTGGGTGCTTTCCTCAATGTGTGTCCTATCCACTTCCAGCGCTTCTTCCTCCACTGGGATCTGGTGTGTTCTTCCCCACACTTGGTTGTTGCTAATAGTGTCCGGCCAACGAATCCGAAGAAAAAAAATAACGAACAGATTAGTGTAATGTAGTGTAATAATAGTAATAATGGGGGAAACTGAAAGGTACAGTCGGAAGAAATCTTTCAGTTAAGGAAGAAACAACCATTTTTTTATAAAGAAAGTAAAAGGTTACAGCTGGATCCAATCGATTAGTACTGCCTCAGCTCTAGCGCTTAGTGCGACACCAACGCCAGCAAGACCAGACGAAGATGTCACAAGGTACCTAGGTAAACGCACGTAAAACAAGCTTTTTGAAGCGACAGATGGAGAGCAAATTTGTAGTACTTCACCAGAGTCTTGAACACGGGTGTCGGATAGACAACAAACGTTGATATTAAGACTTTGCAAAGACATAGCCAGCCCCATCTGTTGTCCAACCTGCATAAGTGTGCGAACGTTGAAGGCAGCCAGTTTGAATGATGCACGTGGTTTCAGAGAAACTGCTTCAGTATTCGTATTTGGTGGTAACCTACAATTTTCAAATGGACAGTGACTCGAGAACGTTTAGATAGAGTGGAATTTCCACCACAGACGAGCTGCTGTATAAGTCGGAAAAGTAAGTATAGACAGAGTACGAATAAAATAGGGTGAATAATGATGTAGTAAATAATAATAATAATGTGAATCATATGATTGTTAATCGAGGCAAGAAAAGTATTTTCCATAATTATCGACAGTTCATCACCGAAGCGGGTAGTTTTCTTAGGGGGCCAAACCTCGAGCCCTTGACCTAAAGGTGTAACCCACAAGGCAGTGGAGCATCGTGAGGAGATACAGTCCAATGGTAGCCGGTGACCAACAATTGATTCATACTCCATTTGTTCCCTCAGGATACTGGAGCTCATGTGCACCATTGATTTTGTTTGGAATCCGGTTAAAGCGTCGGACATTCGCTTTTCGTTCTCTCATTTTCGTAAACAACACCCCCGTCACGAGAAGGCAGCGAATAGGACTTCCGTGGTAGAGGCTGTGTACACGTGGCCATACCAGGGCATTTGCGGGCGCAGCTGCTTATGTGTGCAGACCATTTTATTCTTCATGACTAGAATATATCCCCCGAAGCTAGTCTTTTCTGTCCGGTTTTTGTCGAATTGGTTTAAGCCCTTCCAAGCACATCCGCTACTTAAATGCCTCTCCCGCTTCCCCACATTGTCCGAACATCCCGTGTGCTTACATTAATTGTTGCTCCTTTTATCAGAAAAAGGGTTATTCTTGTGTGGTTTTATCCTGCTCCAGTATATTTAGTCAGGGAATACCGGTTATTCAAGCTGTGCAAAAAGATTTCGCTCATGTAAATATGATGGTTATTAGCAAATACAAAAAGAAAAATATCAATTCACACACTTGTAAGTTTACATTCATTTTGTTGCCTGAAGTCATACTAAGACTTGCCAAATTAAACATCTTCAAAGATAATTTGATTATAATACCATTTTTTTTATTTGAGTCTACATTATAACCATAGCCATAAAAAAAATTAGATGAAGTATTAGTCCCTTAGATAAATTTTGATAGTGTAATAAGAATACGAATATTATCAGAACTATGTAACATATTAGCGCAAACATCCAGAAAGTGAGAAGTCACGCGTTGCGTTTCTATACTGCTAGTACGTTTAGTAGCGTTCCAGACCTTTCCGGAAGCCCAAGGTAATTAAAATACCATAAATACCCTAGATTTTTTGTACATAGGCAAACCTTGGAGTAAAGCGTTTATTCCATATTTCTCTCGTTTTAAATCGCTGTGTAGATTTAGCCTGGGGATTACTAGAAGAGCTTAGGTACTGAATCTAGCATTCAATTCGAAGACTTATCAGTCAGATTAAAAATTAAGTTTCTCTATGATATTAAAATCTGAATGCCATGTCTATCCTACGTATCTTAATCCCCCTCTTGATATTAATAGATATTATTCATATTTCCACATTTACTTAACCCTATTTTCATTAATTTAGCTTAGATTCTGTGTACAATGAACACTTACTTACTATAAGCCAGTTACAAGATGAGATCAAATCACTCAAGCGTCAATTAACACTTAAAGACTCTGACTTGTTAACCAAAGATCGTACAATAGCAGAGTTACGCTCTGAAATGATTGAAATAAAATCAATGAATGAAGATCGTGTCCGAAAAATAAAATCAGCTGCACAGCTTGAACAAGATCGGATGCTAGTAAGTCGGTTTTCTTCTCAACTGTGTAGTGCATTGATTTTCTCAAATATATTTTTTAACAATCAAACTTCTGATCCATCTGATGAAGCAGTCAGACTAAAAAAGATAATCAAGCCGTTTGTTTTCTGTTCAGTCAATTGTTTATAACTTGAAAAAATTATAAGCTTTTTATTTGGGATTTTTTTGAAATATTTGTACATCAATAATAAGTTTTGTTGTATTTTGGACATCATGGATACTTGCTTCCTAGTCCCTGAAAATCTAGCTCTGTCGAACTGTAAACAAAAATTGCAGAAGGGTTACTTCGAACGCTAGGTTGTGAACAGTTTTTAGATATTAAATGTTTCTGAAAACAAAACGAAGTTAGTAAAACAACTTAGTGATTATCTAATCAGAATAAGGAAAGGACGATTAGCTGATTCCTAGGTTTTTCTGCGAAGTTCCTAATAAGCGTTAGTTGGTTAAAGCACTTTCGGCTTTTTCCTTTGTCTCTGCAGAACTTCGTAAAGAACAATCGAAAACTACCAATTTTAAACATGACTCTAATTTTTTCACTCAGCATTTGACCGTACTTTGTCTCCTTTTTTTCCAGGCTACAATACGTCAGTTACAAAAAGAGAAGGCAATTATTAGTCATAATACTAAACGTCGTAAAATTAATAACAATCTCTCAAAAATTACAAACCGAAATTCTTTGTCTTCGACAACTTTATTCAATCCAGACTCACCGCTTAGTTTGGGCTTTGCAAAACGAGTTTCCAAGCCTCTAGTACTTGAAAGCCAAGATAAAGAACGTGGAAGCGATGAAACATTGTCTTACTCAGATCGAGTATCGAAAAATACACTGGACTCAACAAGTCGTTCAGTGAAAAGACAACTTACACCTGACTGTATTAGTGTACAAATTTACGATGAAGACTCTAACTTAGCACCTCAACGTACAGTTACTTCTGGCATAAGACAAAACGCAGGTTCACCAGGTATTACTTCAAGTATATCACCCAAACCTCCTACAGATGATGAAGAAGCATCTCAACCGTATCAATATGATCCTCATGAAATATCTGGGAAAAACCCTCTTGGGTTGGATACGCCATCGGAGTCTGAAAATGAAACTCCCGACTGAAACTTTTCGTGGAATATCAATATTTTGACTCTTCACTTCTGTTTCACATTTAAAAAATGTAGACAATCACTGTTTTTTGTAACACACTACATCTGCATTTTAGTAAGACGTTTAATTTTCAAGTGGTCTGTTTTTATAACGTCTTTGTCACATTCATTTTTGCCTGTGTATGGTGGCTTGATTCAATCGTCCACACACTTTCTATACGGGAGGTATGACAATTTTGTTTGTTCTATTAGTTAGTTTGGGAGGAAGTTAAATCTAACTTCCCCTAAATATAGTGTCATATACTTGTATATTCAATTAAATGTATAATGTCTTTTCTGTGTTTTACAAACCATCTAGAATAATTAATTGTTTGTATATTATCTAGAAACAAATCAACTCATAATAAATTTATCATTTGCAGATTTAAAGCAATTAGTCCTTTCGATAGTTTTGATAATATTCATGTTCCTATTACACCACCCATTGTGCGGATTTGTTTTTTTACTTTTCATTGACCTGTCATGACACTAGTAATGCACTAATCAATATACATTGAAATTGGCTCGATTTATCAACTAACAAAAAAGAGGAACAAATCCAAGGTCAGAGGTGAAAACACTTAAAACGAATACGCAAACAACGGTCACATCTATGGACAACAATCAACCGAATTGTAGGTTAACAGAGCAAATAACTAGTCAGTCACGGAGAAACGCTAATCACTCAGGACTTGTTGAAATATCTGCTGATGATGTTATCAACAAGACAATGGAAGCTTCGTGATTAAACAACCTGACTCAGAGAACAGAACGCCATCAAAAAATTTCCTTTTGAAATTTATTAGCATCTTCAATCTATAAACAATCCTAATGTATAGCATTCACTGCAAAATATGTGGAAACAAAGAAATATATTAGTCACTTAATAAAAAAACTGAGAGTTGTACAAGAAATTAAAAGTAAACACGCATCAAATAATAGATGAGGATGATCAGTATTACAATAAGATACGGAATTCAGGTTGTTATGATGAATGTTAAAGGACGTTTGGAAAGCTGGAAGTAGTGGACTGCCGTTTGGTCGTAGTATGGGACAGGTGAGCAGTACGCATTGAGGATCGCACACGTGCGACTGGAATTAGGGACCTTAGGTCTAACGCGTCAACGCCTAACCTATTGCTCCAACGTCCACCATCGCATTCATTTACAACACGTAATTATTTTCTACGATTTTAAAACTTGTTCATATCATCATTTAATCCCGTTGATGGTCAGCTATTGTTGGCATAGTCTTTTTAAGCAATTTTAGTGTCATTCTTTTTGCTCTAAGGAATTTCGTATACTGTCCTTTCCGGGTCGTTTTCCTTTTTAGAAGTACGAGAAACGACTCTTGTTTGCAAGGTTCTGAAATTCCTAAATAGTGCATGAGAATGAGTATAATTTGAAGTCATGTGTAATTTTCCCACTTTGATTCCTTAATTCCCAAATTGTTAAGCGAAATTAAGAGGCCACAAGTATTCGGAGTTTGACAACACCTTAACTAGTAATATCTTTTATGATTGAAACGTACCGATACAGTGAAATCAGAAGTGAGGAGACTCGAAGATATATTCGATAAGTGACTAATCTAGGCTGGCTAGCGGTTATAGGAGAAATGAAGCACGGCGTACTCACTCGTGATGTGGTGCGGATGCATGACCAAGCGCCTTCAATCAGCTAAGTCCATTAAAACTAAAGTGGTCAGCATCAAATATCAAAGACTTTCAGAGCTATTCATTTTGGGGATATATTTACCTCCACAACAGTATTAGAATCATTTCCAGTGGTCAATAAGGAAAGCTGACCCTAAAGCATTCTTAAATTTACTAGACCTAATATAGACGGTCCACCCTCAGTAATGAGAAATTTATAATTTAAGATTTACCATTTCTGATTAACAGATTACAACATCCAATAATAGAAAGTTTGCGACCAGAAATACTAGAAATGGGAACTTTAGTAAGCACAATTATAGCACCAAGTTTTAATGGCTTAAACTTCCCAGTGAAAATGGACTGGACGCTGTCAATATCAACAATAACATCGAGAAAAGCACAACTGGACAGATATAATGGTTTTCAAATATTAAGTGGAAGTTGTAAATAAGGATAATATATGACGTAGAAGTTTACCGCAGGATAAACATCTTCCAAACGTGCTCACCATTGTAACCTGCTTTGTAATTATTTTTTGAATCACTCCTCATATTTCCACGAGAATAGAAGCCATTATCAAACAAAGGCGATCCTGAGCGTAGTTCATCATGAGGACTGAGCAAAGTTATAGATTTTCACCGACTGGAAATCCAGTTCATTTACTACCCTCTAGTTCATATAAGCAGTCCTAGCATCTTGAAGAGAACAGTTCGACGTTTGTGTATTGTGGTCATGTATCTTTTTGCACTAATCGGAATCGGGAATAAATCGATTACTTTTCCAGTTGATTCACCCTTCCTCTCTCGCGTGCTTGTCAGCCAATCAGGTGATAGAATAGTTTCCGTCTCTATCCAAGGCAGTTAGTCTCACTTCGAACTCACACGGTTTTAGCCTCAAGGTTGAACGAATCAACCTATCGTGTCAAGGTCTTAATCTAGATTGAAGCAAGTTATTTCCGGTATATTAGTAGGTAGACAGATCAAGATGTGACAGTATACCTCAAAAAATGAGAACCAGGATACTTTCTCAGATGAGGAAATTAAGATTAGTATATCAAGATCCCGTTATTCATAATTGACAACTTGAATTACTGTAGCTCAAATCCTGTTTATCTTCAAAAAATCCTTAAAGTCAAAATCACTATTTCAACAGACCTGAGTCCTATTATTTAATAAAGGAAGAATGGCATTATCAAGAAAATAATTCTTCATTAGCGAATGGACTCGGAAAAAACGCTCAGTCGTAGTGGACATTTTATATATGATTTGCGCTTTCCCATTTGCTCACGTTTAAGGTTTGCACATGGAATTTGACTCAGATAAATGACAACTTAGGAATTTATATTAATGGTGTGAAAAGCAAAAAAGAAGACCTGACAAACTACGAAAGCTATTCTTGGGGATATTATTTCATTAAATGCTAAGCCTGTAAAACAGCAACATTTATTTTTGCCCCTAGTCTATTCTATAGATCATAAGCTTTCACTTCCTGTTCCAAGGCTATTGTGATTTAAACGTAATCTCTTGTACTCTATTTTCTACTCTAATCCCCAGCTTCGGACATTACTGTATTTTCGTAATTGTTTGGTTATTTATTGTTATGACGGGTGTGACTGCAGGTTTTGATAAGCAGCGTTTATTGATCGATTCGGTGACAGGTAGACACGCACGGACGGCTTAGAGTCTCGATTGGTCCCACTTCCCTGTCTAGCCCAGTTAGTTGAGTCCATAACACAAGTCACAACCTCTGAGATATGAATCATTATATTTCAAACATACTTTGTTTATATACCAACCAAGCATACCACATCGTACCATAAAAATAGAAAACAACATTTTGTACAATATTCAACAAGTGAACAGATATCGACCAATAGGAAATGTCCATTTAAAGTCCAAGGACACCATTGGACTTAACATGATAATTATTGGTCTATTCCTCCGCATCCACAACATTTATTCTCTGAAGAAGTGGCTTACACAATGTTATGTCCCGATAAGTATAATGAATGGTAACTGTTGAGATCTATTTATGGTCAAATACTATACATATATTTTTATCGTATAATTATTAAATAACTAAACTATTTATATTCGTGTTCCTTTTACCATAAGCTTTATTTTGGCCTGAACTATTATTATACGATTTGCCGTTCTTCATTTCTGACCTGTCTATCAATTATTACCTCCTATATTCACAGCCACTTTTGACTAAATATTGTACAAATGTTATTTTCTATTTTATGATACGATGTGGTCTGGTTGGTTTGTATACAAACCCAGTATGTTTGAAATACATGATTCATATCGCAGAGGCTGAGATTGGTGTTCTGGATTTAACTGACTGGGCTAGGCAGGAAGCAGGACCAATAAGTACTCTAGACTGCTCGCATGGGCTTTATGTGTTATTGGTCCGATCGACCAGTCACTGCTCCCTAATTGGAGGTATCATATTATACATTAGTAGGGCACAGACTACAAGTTACAACACGCTAAGTCACAAAATGTCAGGAAATCTAATTTTTCTACTCATCACGATATTACAAATATATTATTTATTTATAACAATCTACCCAATGCTCAATTTATTCGCTGAAAAATCCCCATTATATTAAAACAACAATTATTATTCAACACTCGCTATCAATGTTTTCAAGTATCCAAGTCCTCAGCCGATGATTATCTCACATAAGCTGGAAAAGTAGATTGAGAATGCGATCGATTTAAAATAAATGAAATTACAGCAGACCAGTTTAAATGTTTGATTTTTATCTGTGGTTTAAAGAATCCAGAAGATACCGATATCCGTACCAGGATTTTGGCAGGTATTGAGCAGAAACCGAATATGACTCTACAAATGGTCACTACCGAGTGTCAACGGTTATTAAATCTCAAACATGATAGAGCGATAGTGCAACAGAAGGCGAAACCTTCCGATTTCGGCTTAATAAATGCACTCAGATCCTTCAAATCTTCCAAACAAAGCGCGACAACTAGCAAACCACCGTCACCGTGTGGAGCATGACATTTTTTGAAATTATGCCCGTTCAAGGATCACAAATGCAACCGATGTCTACGCTTGGTCATAAAGAAGGCCACTGCTCATCAAATAAACGCCAGTCTAAATATCGTAGCGGAAATGAGAAGCGACAGCCACAGGGTCAAATCAAAAGCATGTTCGCAACTTTCAAGGTTGGATTTCCAAGTGAACAGAAGTAAGTAAACTCATTAGTAAATGGAAAACCTGGTTATAGTTCTCTCTTATTACAACCCAGCTATTACTATTGCTTAGTATTCTTGGACACCAATTCACTCGACAAG